CGTCCGTGTTAAAATATATTTTAAAAAAATTTACAAAACTAAACAGCCTACAGTATTTTTACAGTCTTTATTTTACAGTTAAAATAAATGTTTATCAAATAAAGTTTAATGTTACAACTAATCCTGGATCCCTTTAATAAATCAGAACTGGAGCCGGACGTGTCCCGCGCACACCTGAGTTTCAACAATGAAGCAAGCTCTCCACAACTAAAAGCTATGGAGCAAAAACAGTGATGATTTTCATTACAATGATGTAATTACGTCCCTCAAATCTGGATCTGACCGTTAGTAATTGTCAAATGTGAAGCCATGATTGTTTGTCAGTCGTCACTATGGACTGCTGGCTGTGATAAAGTACACAACTTTCTCCTCTCTGACAACAACAACTGTCCACAGACAATCCTGTTTGTATCATGAACAAGTCATTCAGTTTTTACTCTTATCTAAACATGAAGTTTCCACTGCTTTCCATCAAGAGGAATTAAAAACAAACAATGTGAAAAAGATGGAGGAATGTGATAATTTACTAAGCACACACAGTAATGCATTGAACTGTGCTCAGGTAAAGTACATTAAAAACTGTTAAATACAGAGTTACAAAACTGTGTTTGTACTAGGGATGCAAGTTATCGATTAATGGATTAATCTAAAGTTGATTGATCTTATCGATCRACTAACGATTAATTGATAAGCGGACATTTTCCTAAAAACCTGACATTTCTCTTGAATCAAGGGTCTTTCTATGACATGAAGGGAATTTTTTTACACACTAACTCCTTCAGTTAGTTAATTTTATAAATTTATTGTGCCAGCTGTATTAAACACTGACTGAATAAAATAGAAAATTGTGGATTTCTCACACATTATTAACAAAACAGGAATCTGTTAAATTGCTAGTTGGAAAATAAAGGAATGGAAAAAAAAAGTAAAACACTTGCTCCACCCTGAACAGAGAAATGTAAAACTAACATTTAAACACAGAGTAACATTTTTATCTAAAGATTTACGGTACTCAAAAACAAACTATAAGCATGAGCTGAGAGGGGTAAGCGTGATCTGAATGAGTACTGGAACTGTTTGTTTACATTCCCTGTGGTTCTGTCTGGGCTGATCTGACGTCACTTACTGTCTTTGATTTGTTCACTGGTCGGGTTACGTCACACAGATGAAATTAACTTCATGTTAATTATTTGTAGTGACTAACTTGTTTTTGTTTTGCTTTTTCACACGGAGTTAAACTCTACAAGCAGAAGCTAACGTTAGCTAAAGTTAGCTTACCATTGTTGTCTATCGTCCTGTTCTCGTCTTAAGCGTCCTTCGGTAATTTTCCTTCAAGTTTGGTGTAGTCCGTTATTATTGTGGTGTCGCAAATAAAACGAAACAAGATTTGCATGTAATTATGATGCCGCCCACATGGAGGCAGCAGGTTCTCTGCTCAGCTCAACGTAGGGCCAGGGCAGAGTAGTACAGACTGAGAGAGCAGCAGCGCCCTCTATTGGATGAAGGCAAAACTACACTGGAAATGGATGATTTCAATTAATCGAATGGAAGAAATTTTAATCAAATAAACCATTATTCGATAATTAATTGTAAGTCGATTAATTGTTTGCATCCCTAGTTTGTACACAATGCAAACATAAATGTAAACACAGTTCATGTAAAAATGCTTGTTATTTTTAAACGGACACAAAAGGGTTCATTTCTTACTTTTGTCGCACAAACTCATCAGTGACGACTTTCTTCACGTCACCAAACTCCTCGTGTTTCTGCCTGAAAAACATCATGTGAGCACATCAAATGACAAACACAAAGAAAAAAAGACATTTAAAGTCGTCATTATGACAGTTTGGTAACTACAAACTAATCTGACACAACATATTGTGAAACGTGTCGTACCCAGGATCAACACGGAGTTTCTTCAGGGTGTGCCAGATGAGATCTATAAAACAAAGTGTTTTATCCTCCACTGTGCTGTGCTGATTAACACACTGGATGTTTGAGAAGAAACAACTCACTTTCTTTAACAATGCCTCCTTTCATAAAAATAACACTCAAGACCACAAAAAGGAGACCCGTCTTTGGGTTGGTGGGACATCTACACACAAGAGAATTATTAATACACACACWCACACACTGTAAAAGTTAAAAACAAATTCTCACCACTTCCAGTGTTTACAGAGCACAAATACTCACTCAACTGGCCCAGCTCTAGCAGGTGTTTCCAGATTATTCACCAGGATGTACATGTGCTGTTTGGGATCAATTTCAACCAGTTTCAAGCCAAACACCTGGTGAACAACAGAAGGATAAACACGCAACAAGTGCTGACTGTGAGCAGCTGGTTCCACAGAACAGCCTCATCCTCTCTGACCTGTTCAAAGGTCCGCGCTGCCCTCTTGATGATCTCAGGGTAGATGGTTCTGTAGTCCTTCACCATGTATTTGACCAGCTCTGCAGAGACAAACCCCACCCACACCAGCATGTCAGGCCCACAGGGACAAACCTTGGTTTGTWGGGACCATCATCTGAAACTGGACAGTCAAGTAAGGCTCACAGTCAYGTCTAGTTTGCATCATTTAAGAAAAATAGCAAAGATCTAATATATTCTGTCATGGCAACAGTTGTAAACAGTGGTCCATGCTTTCCTTTCATCCCGTCTGGATGAGAGTGTAGAGAAACCCCTCACCTCACCACTGGTTGACCTTTGACTAGGGATGCAAGATACAGCAGGTAAAATACGTATTGAACACGTCACCATTTTTCTCAGTAAATATATTACTAGAGGTGCTAATGACATGAAATTTTCACCAGATGTTGGTAACAACCCA